GCGCTCGTGGTGAGGATTTTGTTCATTAATTCTTTCTTTTTCCTGACAACACAATTATAAAAAAAACAGCGTATAACAAAAATTTAGATTATGCAAAATAAATGTACGTGTTCCACTTGATACGCGCGCGAGAAAGAAAGGGAGAGAAAGCGAAACGTAATTTAAAATTGGAAAATGTATGGCGCACTTTCCAAGCCTAATGCGAATTATATCAAGAGGAACATCGTCGTCACAAAACTCAACGTATATACCTTTGCCGCTCCATTTCTGCCAGCCTTTCCACTTCGTCCATCTTCCGATCCCTGTCTCTGTACGATCGTTTCTTGTGACTGACGATGTGCACGTCGTCCGACACGTCCGAGCCAGTGCTAGACGACGCGGAATGGGATCGTTTTCTGTAACAACAAACAACATTACCTGTAGATACTTATAATATACATTAATAATCGTTATAATCGGATCGAACGTCATTTGCATTTATGTCGAGATCAGGAATTTACCGCGCGACAGCGAGATAGTTTGCGGATCTGCAATGTTTTTAATTCTTTTTTCTCTCGTCATCGCTTTATCATCGAACGCGGGGGTGACAAGATGGCCGCGCGCACGGAAAATCGAAATTTCTCAACGAATAAACGAGAATAAACGCATCGGTTCCGTCACGAGCGGCACGCACCTGGACTTGGAGCTACGCTCCTTCGGCTTGTCCGAGTATTTGTTGTTAGAATGCTTCTCGCGCGACTTGGATCGCTTGCGCGAGTGCTTGCTCTTATGACGCCGTCTGCTCGGCGATTTCGATCGGGAGCGCGACCGGCCCATTTCCTCGAGCTCGACCGTCTTTCTTTGCCGAATGCGGTCGCGATTTAGCGAAGAAAAACCGTGTTCCCCGTACGCGAGTTGATGCGAGTTCACGGCCACGTGACGAGACAAACGATATCCACGAAATATTCACACCGCACACGCGGACATACTTCCGTCTCCCGTGCTGTTCAACTGGCGGCCATCTTTAAATCACGATGCTGCGTCGTAGAGATACGAAACTGATGCTCCGATACGGCCTTCGGCGTGGCGACAAGCTGCGCCCTCACGAACGCAGTACTCGGTAAACAAGTGCTTCATATCGACAGCACCAATATAAGGTATTAG